GTAAATCAGCAGCATCCTCTTCACAGCTAGCAACACCCAAGACCTTAATATCATCTGGAAATTTAAGTAATTTATTGACTATTCCTTCATTTATGTCATTGATGTAATAAAAAAAAAAGCAAAGGTCCTAAGACTGAGCCCTGAGGTACTCCACTTGTGACAGTAATCCAATTTGACTGAACCCTCTGCTTTCTTCCATCAATCCTTTTATGTGGCACCTTGTCAAATGCTTTCTGAAAATCCAGATTCACCAAATCTACACCCTTACCATCATCTACATAAGCAGTAACCTTTTCCAAGAATGTCAAAAGATTTGTAAGGCAAGATTTTCCTATAGTGAAACCATGTTGACTATCAAATAAAAATCTCAACTTTGTTAAATGACTTTGAATAGCATTTTTTAACAAACTTTCCAAAACTGTTCCCATAACTGATGTAAGACTAATGGGTCTATAATTACTGGGACTATTTTTATCACCTCCCTTGAAAAAAGGAGTTACATTAACTAACTTCCAATCCTCTGGTACATGCCCATTACTCAAGGACTTACAAAAATCAGTAGCAAGTGGCTCACATAACCAATCTTTAACCTCCTTCAAAACCCTTGGAGAAATATTATCTGGCTCAGAAGCCTTATTGTTTTTTAAACTTCCCAATATTTTCATAACCAGCTCATAATTAATTCAGTGATCTTGTTTGGTCTCGTTTCCATTTATCAACTGTTCAAGATGTGGAATAGTGCTTAAATCTTTGTTGGTAAAACCAAAGAAGAAGCAAAATTTAATAACCTAGCCATCTCATAGTCATCAGATACTAGCCTTCCTTTATCATCCCTCACGGGTCCTACCCCAAGCCTAACATTTTGTTTCTCTTAATGTATTTAAAGAAATCATTACTATTAATTTTTACATCTTCAACCAACCTTTTCTCATACATCCTTTTTGATGTTCTAATTTCCTGTTTCACCAACTTCTCAATCTTTTAAATCTTCTGTCATAACAGTCAATTTAAGTTTCTTAAATTTATTATGCTTTTCTTTAATTTTATCTCTTAAACTCTTTGTGAGCCAACCTGGTTTTTACTTGCAGCTACTCTTTTCTTTCTAAAGGAATATGTTTACCTTGAATATTTAAAAATCTATCTTTAAAACTTTTCCACATCTGATCAGTGTCTCCAAATAAGTCAACCGTCCAATTCACATCAGATAATTCTTGTCGCCTCCCTTCAAAAT